CCCCCCCCCCCCCCCGGCCACTGGTCCCACCTTCATCCCATCTTCCCCTCAACCCCACTCCACATCCATTCCTCAGAGAGGGTTAAGCCTCACATGGAGAGTCAGCTAAGCCTGGCATCTTCGGTTGAGGCTGGACCAAGGCCCTCCCCACTGTATCCATGTTGACCAAGGTATCCCTCCATAGGGAACTGACATAAGAAACCCAGTTCATACTGGTTACCCACCAGTGGCCAACTAACTGCCCAGTCCACACAACTGTTGCACATTCAAGGGCCTAGTTCAGTGATAGGCAGGTTTCCCAGCTGTCAGCCCAAACTCAGCGAGCTCCCACTACCTAGCTGTTCCTATGGGTTTCTATGGGTTTCTCCATCATGGTCTTGACCCATTTACTCATAATATCGCTCCTCTCTCTCCCTCCAACTAGATGCCAGGAGCTCAGGGCACTGTTTAGTTACAGAAACACTTTTCACAGCAATGAGCAGTGCAAAGATACTGGCAGTCATTTTCTTTGCTGACTTTGTCTCTAGAGACGTTTTTTCCTACACGAAGGGCGGGTGACAAATGCTAACCAGCTCCTCCATGGAGCTCTACTGCCATCATCAGGATGGAGTTTCACAACTCGCAGTACCACTGAACTTCCTTCCCATGATTCTGAGCGGAAGATGGCAGAAGATGGCGACTGCAGACAACTACAACAGTAGGTGGCGACTCAGGTTCTGTGACTTCTATTAAGACACCAACAGAAACATGAATGTAGAGTTTTCTGACCAGCACCTGGAGAGGGATGCGGCTTCCTGCCCTAGGACACAAGCTAATAGATTCCTATTGCAAGCTGAGCAGTGCAAACCCCGCCCCTCTACTTCCTGTTCCTGGATCTCAGGACAGGTTTGCACTAGTAACTGGGCCTTCAATCAATAAAGTTTACATTAAGGCTCTGAAATGAATCATGATTTCAGCCTGCCTACAAAAAAAGAAAATGGTATGAGGCCAAAAATAAGAGTCCCCTCTCCCTGACCCTCAACTTCAAAATGCCTAAAAGTAGCATTGAATACAAAATGTGCCCATATTGAGGGGTACATTTGAAACACCTTCCACATGATGGCAGTGTTGCCCCAATGCAAGGAAGGTACCAGGCATACATTCTCTACAGCCCCGCCTTCGCAATTTGAAAAAAAACTACAATACAAAAAAATAAAGCAAGAGTCCAGCACTGTATCAGCCCTGCCATCTTCCTTCAGAGAGAGCAAAAGTGATTCTCTGACAGCTTAGCCTCCACTTTAATTTTATCTTCGTGCCACAGCTAGTAGCTCTGTTCCTTCATCAGAAACCACCATCAAAACACTAAAGACAAAAATCCAAAGAAGGGAAGAAGGAAAGTACAGGAAACTGATGGAAGCAGGAGGGAAAGAGAAGGAGGTGGAGAGCTGAGGCGCCCACCTTCTCAGGCCTCCTCTGTTTTGAAGGAGTCAGTGGCCAGTCAGTGATCAAGCCTTGAGTTTCCTCCTCTCCAGCAGCATTCTACCTCCAGTGTCTATGCTGGTGTAGGACTGTCTGGTGCTCAACGTTAAATCTTAGGCTCCAGTTCTAGGTAGAATAAGAAAATGCAGCCGGTCAATCATATCCAGAAAGCAGGAAGGCTGGTTCTCTGCCAGATTCACTTCACAGATTCCCTGGGAACCAACCCACATCCTGATCCAGGCTACAGGACCTGCGTGTGCAGCTCAAGGTTGACAACCCCTCTGTGATGACCTAGCTAGGCCTCAAGGTTTAATGCTTCACAGTATTTGGAGTGACACATATGTTGAAAGGATGACAAGTTCCACTCAGACAGATCAAAGAGTTGGATCTATAAACTTTTGTCCTATAAATCACACTAAATATCTAATAAACTTCTGTCCAAATTGAACCATGTTATCCATTGCTCCTCATACCTTTCTTTTTGGGAGAATTTGAGGTGACATTAACACGCAGTTTTAATGTCAATGTAAGCATGGATACCAAGGAAAGTAGGAACAAAATTTGCCAAATGAAATTGTGCACTACTTTAAGTATTATTCAGTATGAATTTGTGAGAAGTTTTCTTCAAAACTATACAAAGTTTGAAAGGCCTTTCTTTAATTTAAAGCCAGGTCTGTTGGTGCAGGCATCTCTGAATCTTTTCTTAATTTAAGTTGCCCCCTCAAAGTAGTAAGAGGGTTTGTTTCCTCGCACTGAGCATGCCTCCTCACATCCAATTCCCTGCCCCAGCCTCTAGGGTGGGGCCTGTCTCTCCCTAGATAGTCTTCCCTTGAGGGATAAGACAACTGAAGATCAGGACCTTACTAGGTCAACATCAGAGAAGCTTCTTCCTGCAGCATATGTGAACAAAAACAGAGACCAACAGTCATACAATATGCAGAAAGTAACAAACATTAAAGTACTCACCCCAAAAAAGAAGGAAGGAAGGAAGGCAGGAAGGAGAGAAAAAAAGAACAAACTCTTCATGAAATCTTCCCCACCCCACCCCCAGGGCTCAGGAGCTCTCAGGAGAGAAGATGGATAGAGTGGTTTAAGAGTCAGAGGGGATGGAGGACGCCACTAAGGCCTTCTGGGCACAACATGGCTACAACACATATCAACTCAGACACTGAGACAGCATGCACAAGGCCTACATGGGACTGCTCAAGATGGGGTCCTGGAGCTGAAAGGAGAAGTTGACAAACAATTCCAACCCTAAGCCCAAAACTGTTTCCAATTGACAGCCAGTTGTAAATTCAAAATTAGCTTTCCTCAATGGAAGCACACTGAGAAATCAAACTACTCTTAAAGCCAGACCCCATACCCAGCAATAGAAGGCCACCACAAAGTAAATTTAATGACATTTGGAGTTTCTGTCTCATAATGACCTCAGAGCTTTTAAAAATCAAAAACAGAAAATCTTGCAGATGTGTGTGTGTGTGTGTATACAAATATAAACAAGATACATATATACACAAGACATACACACTCTGGTTTCCAGTTTTGTTTGTTGTGTTATTCCAATGTGTATAAATATGTGTGTCTCTGTAAGTGTTTCTTTAGCTCCATTTTTTATTTTGTTTTCTTTTAGTTCAGTTTAGTTTTGTTGCTTCTTTTGAGACAGGATTTCCCTTCCTAACAGTCCTAGGTGCCTGGAACTTGTGTTTTAGAACAGGCTGACCCTGAACTCACAGAAATGTGCCTGCCTCTGCCTCCAGAGTGCTGGAATTAAAGATGAGCACCACCACAGCCTAGCTAGTTCCTTTTTCTCTTTGGGTGTTTGGTCAGAATGCAATTTGTTTGGGTTTAATTTCTTTTATTATTATTATTATTATTTAGATGTCATATAATATATAAAAATACCTTACTTTTAGAGTTATAGAAGTATATAAAGTTGATTCGCACACAACATGTGAATGCAACACACAGATTTTGTAAAGGTACTAGGCGCAGGATTTAGAAAGTTCATTTTTTCTCTAATAAGTTGTGGGATCTGAAGTACGCAGGCAATATCAAATCGGTGAAAACATTTGATATTTTACTATTGATTCAAATGCATTAAAAACATTGAACTGATTCGCATGCATTAAAATTATTCAGTAAAATGATTAATACAACTATTACAGCAATATAAATAGTTCTCAATAACTATTAAGACTATCCCCATAGGTAAGATTCAGTGCCATGGATGGTTCTTCCAAAATTAGGCATTGTGAAATGATCTAAATGACAAAAAGTATGTGTCTATTAGTAACCCCACCTAGTCACTTGTAACAGTTTATAAAACTCAATTGCCGGCCAGGTAGTGGTGGTGCACACCTTTAATCCCAGCACTAGGGAGGCAGAGGCAGGCAGATCTCTGTGAGTTCTAGGCCAGCCTGGACTACAAGGGCTAGTTCCAGGACAGGCTCCAAAAGCCACAGAGAAACCCTGTCTAGAAAAAAACAAAACAAACAAAACCCAACTCAAATGCCTAGGTCATGCTGGGTAAGCAATGATCCCCTCATCTGTAGCCATCTCACCCCAGGAGTTAACACAATAATCCTTTGCTTCCCAATCTCTCAGGATAACTTTATTGTGCAAAACCAACAACAAATAATGGGACCAAAAGTGTAAGAACACCTTAAGTATCCAGCAAAGGTAAAAGCAAAATGTCATAAAAAAAAGAAATATCCCCCTGTGCTAAATTTATGTCTCACTTTGACTGAACAAGAAAAACAAAACACAAAAAGTTTTTAGAACTAGACAAAACTCAGGGCAGCAATTTCCTTTGGACCTTTTGTCTCTGGGTGGCGTTTTTTTTTCAGACAGGAAGGGCGGGAGACCAGGGCGCACCAGCTCCTCCATGGATCTCTACTGCCATCATCAGGATGGAGTTTCACAACTCACAGTGCCACTGAGCTAAGCTTCCTTCCCATGATTCTTAGACATGGCGGAAGATGGCGATTACAAGACAACTAGAAGCCAATATGGGCTTCCTCGACTTATCTCCTCAGGCTTTAACAGAAATACAGACCGTTCAGTTTTCTCATCAGAACCTGGAGAAGGAGGCGCCTTCCTGCCAAGGTATGAACTAGTAGATTCAATTTGCGATCTGAGCAGTGCAAACCCCGCCCCTCCACTTCCTGTTTTTGGACCTCAGGACAGCTGTGCACTAGTAACTGGGCCTTCAGTCAACAGGGTTTATATTAAGACTCTAGGGCTTTTCATTCCAGTTTGCATACAGAAAAAGAAAAAAAAAATGGTATGAGGCCAGCCTGGCAAACTTGGTAATTTAAAAATCCTCTGACCCTCACCTTCCAAATTGGTAGAAGCCGATTTTACAAAGCTGTGTCTGCACATGGAAGGGTATGTATGAAACAATTTCCACACAAGGGCAGTGTTGCCCCAGAATAGAGAAGGCATCCTGCATGCATCTCTTCTCAGGCCTTTCCAGACTGAAAAAAAAAAAAAATCCCTTGCAATGTCAGTCCAGTAACTGAGGGAGCCTTGCTTTCTTTGTTCCCTGTTTGGGTGCATGCTGTACTGCACTCTGAGAACTTAGCTTCTATTTTTCATTTCTATCAATGCCATATCTAATGGGTCTGCACCTGCATTGGACCTCCACTATCAAAAGACAAAAAGAAGCCCGTAAATAGATACATAAGTAAATGTATAAATACATCTCAGAGCAATACCAGGAAGAAGGAAAGACAGATGAAAGTGAGATCTGAGGCAACCACCTTCTCTTTGGAAGAAGTCAGTATTCTGTCAATGGTCCAGTCTTGCATTTCTCCTGGTCTGCACCCAGCAGCTTCTCCATCCAGTGCTTGCTCAGGGTGGATGCCTGTTTTCTGGTCTCGCCTTGCAGAATTAGGCATCCAGGTCTAGGGAGGAAAAAAAAATGCGGTCACCACAGTGCTTGAAGGAAAGCAAATCCAATTGTTATTATCTACCTTCACACCACACCTTCCCTGGCTATCATAGACCACTGGAGATCTGCACAAAGAGATCTCGAAAATGGGCCCGTGTGCCCAGTAGGGGGCTGACATTAGCGGCACAGATACCCTTTAACCCCGAATGTTGGACATATCCCTACAAAGTGAAACACACGTGTGTGTTGAAATGTCTCTGATTTCCAACTGGATATATCATGGAGTTTCTCTCGGGGCTCCCTCCTATCTCATGGAAACATAGGTGGCCCACTGCTCTTTCCTATAGTTTAACTGCTTACATGTTGTTGTTTTTGTACTGTACTGTTTAGCATAGTATAGTCTTACACTTTCCCTTGGCATGAAAGATATGGAACTTTGAGGGGAGCATGGCCTACATAATGTGTTCCAGATAAAAGGACGAAAATGCCAACCTACAACTTCCTGTCTGCTAGTCTAAGCACCTGCAGGTCCTGTTGGCTCCTTACACTTACTTCATTTTTTTAAAATTTTATTTATTTATTTATTTATTTATTTATTTATTTATTTATTTCTAAGGTTGTACTGCTGTCCAAGTTTCTCCTCTTGCCTCAGGGGAAAGGCACTGGGCCCCAGAGTCTAAGCCAGGTGTATCCTTCCAGGAATTCTTTCCCCACTGCTAGACTCATGGGGATGAAGCTGTAATGGTGCCGTGTGTACTGTAATTATTCCTGCACAATGGCAATAGTGCTCTACAGACAGTCACAAGGGCCACCCTTGACTGCTTTACTCCCGCCCTCCAAGCCTAGTAGTGATTCTAATAATAGTCAGAATCAGAATCTGGAGACAAAGGCCTAGAAATGTGGTTGGTTAGCATTTTGTAACTGATAATTCTCCACTGAATCTTATCCATTCAGACATCTTTTACTTCCCTTGCAGTTAACTTGTGCTTCAAAGGCTGAACTTGGTGGATGAAGGCAGAGAAAAGGCGACTCTGAACCTGAGTGTTTGTTTGTATTTAAAACATAAGTCCGCCCCAGGACTTCCTGTGTCTGTATATCCTGGAATCTTCCAAGTCCCTGGTACACAGGACTCTCGCGTTCCAGGTTCTACACAAATAGTTCTTGGGTTCGGATCATACTTAGGGCCTTAGAAATACGCCTGTGCCTAGCGAACTATCGCTAACACAGAATATGCCCGTGCCTAAAGAAGTATGCCTAGAGCGGCCTTGGCATTGAATACAGTCAAGAAACTGTTTATTGAGTCTCTGAAACTCTGACCGCACGATGGCAGTAGCGCTCCAGAGAGCGCCAGCACTGCCATCTTAGCTGCCTCCTCTCCCGCCCTTCGTAGTCTGAAAAAAACAAAATCCGCTACTCTGAGACCAAAAAAAAAAAAAAAAGGCTTCCGTCTTGTTCGAAATCAGCAGAGCCCCTAGAGCAGCCATTTTACTTTTGTTTTCCTTCTAGGCCAAATTAAGGACTAAAACCACTGAGTTCAGACTTTCGCCTTTTCTCAAGGTATCTGTCCAGTAAATTGGCCACCGAGACTCACTGCGTAGACTGGCAGCCTAGAACTCGCCAAAACCTGCCAGATCCAGCCACTCAAGGACTGGAATTAAATCACGCTGCCATTAGCTGTGCCACCAGACTAGGCACCTTTTCTTTCTTAAAGAAACTAGCAAGTTTGCAGAAGCACTCTGGGTATTTGTACATTGCATACTCCTCCCCTGCCTAACCCATCTCACAAAAAAAAAAAAAAAAAAACCTAATCAGAAGCAAAGGCATCAAGAAACATGGAGGCTGCTTTACATTTGATTTGTTTGGATAAGCTCACAGCAGTAAATTCTTAGTTTCTGTTTGAAACCAAATTGAGAACTACCTCACTACATTCTCAGCAACAGTCTTGATATCTTGGGATTAAATACTACCTACCATTCTTTGCTTTGTCTTTGGCAACCCAAATTATCAGCTTGTTGCTTTATGAGCAAATCTTCGTAAGCCTCAGCTAAAAGACATAAAGAAATTAAAAAAAAAATCAGTGGCAGAAATAGGCCATTTGTAAGCATCCTGACTTGACTTACTAATATTAATGACAAAATTACTTTGATCATTGTTAAAACAACCAAGATTATTGCTACAGGAATTTTTCAATGGGGGAAGAAATAAATCAGGCTCAATCCTGAATTCAGCAGAGGCAGCTGGGGATTTACAGTCAGGAGCTAAAGGAGGGAAGAAGATATGTGCACGGAAAATAATTTGCGTGGAGGGGGAGTCCACTGGGGTAGGGGAGGGAAATATGTTGTTCAGTAAGCAGGGAGACCCTGGACACCGTCCCCAGCATTGCAAAGCAAGAGTGGTGGCACATCCCTGTAACCCCAGGACAAGGTAGAGACAGGAGATGAGGCAATCCTGTCTCAAACAACAACAAAAGAAAAAAAATCAGAAAATTAATTTTTTAAAAATAAGAAGCTTATCAGAAAGTACCTATTTGCTTCCTAGAAGGCATTCTCAGATATCTTCCTTGGGCGTCATGTCACTCTGAGCAGTAAATTTCTCAAATATATACAAATCACAAGCAGGAGTTACTTAAATTTTGTCTCATGATCTTAACAAGTACTTCCTTATTGAAAGGGATAATAAACAGTCCTTACCAGCTAGTCATATCTACATGAGAAAAACAGACTGAAATCTAATACAGTTTTTTTGTTGTTGTTGTTGTTTATGGTTGGCTAGAACACTGGATCACTTAGTCTTCCAGCTACTGAAAACAAGATATAATATGTAGGAAGTAAAGTGTCACTCATTTTCTATCATGTGGAATCTGAGGGGAACAAGGGCCACAAAAGTAGATGGGCATTTACTAGGGAACAGGAAAAGGATAAGAGATGAAATGTTAGGGTACTGCAGATGCATAAAATCGAAGCATGCTAAACGTAAATGAAAATGTCACAGGAAACTTATTATCCTGTACAAGGAATTTCCATTTAAAAAAAAATCTACATTTAATTTAATGATCAGGGGGAAGCTAGAGAAAGGATTCCTAACACCACAAATCACAGCAAAGTCTATTTCTCAAACTTCTGAGTGGAGTCCTGAAGATAATGAAAGTAGAAAAATGACATCAAAATCATTAGTATTATTAAAAACATGTACAACACTACCAGTAATTATTTTAGTTAGATCTCATAAAAAAGTACCAGGATCGACTATGACGAAATGGTTTGATCAAATATACTAAAGATATGAATTTGACTTCACTTATCTAGTTGATGCTACTCTATTTTATCATTGCAAATATCCTTGAAAGGAAAACTTCAAGTGTGTTAGTTTGATGTTAATATTAGCACTGCTTCTTTCCTTGTAATCTTCTATTTATTGGCCCCAAACCAAATTTTTAATTTTTGGGCCGAGGAAATGAATGAACTTAGATCCTGAAGCCAACTTGGCCTCTAGCCCTTCTCCAATTGCTCTCCTTGTTCAAGGCAATGAGATAGACTTTTGCTGTGTCCATATACCTGAGCAAGCATATCTGCTGCTTTAAAATAGCACCTCCAAACAGGCACTAGGTGCTAAGTTCCTGGAAACTGGGAGGTGGAAGCAGAATGAGCAGGATTAAGAGCTTGGCTACATTAAGTTCCTGGGCAGCCTGGACTCAGTGAAAGCTGCCAAAACAAATCCATGGAGTTGGGGAGTTGGCGGGTAACATTTTCACTAAATCGGTTTCTTATGCAGTAACGCTGCATAAGGAAAAGGTAAAATAAAAGAATAATACAGAGCTTAAATAAGGCCCTCTAGGCTCAAGGCTTCCGCCACCAAAGTCCCGCCCCATAACTTCCGGAAAGTTGCGGGCTGTTCGGGCCTTTTGCACCATGGATAAATCTGTTTTCAGGTCAACATCAAGCTTTTGCCCAAAACTACTGGACTAACACAGACGAAAAAGGGTGGACCAGTTTAAAGTTGTGGCCGGCTGGGCTTCTATGCAGAATGAACTTATATAAACCGGCAGTCCTCACGATAATGCAGTAACTGTGCTATTTGATTTAAAACTACATCCGCATGATGGCAGTAGTGCTCCTTAGTTAGTGTTTCAGCAATACCATAACGCGGTCCTCCTCCCGTCCTTCGGAACCAAAAAAATAAAAAATAAAAAATAAAAAATAAAAAGAGGGAGGGGGCATGCATCAGTTCAAGTTCCTGAAAACATCGCTAATAGGTCATTAGAAAAGAAATCAAAGAAATCTCATTAATTTTTGTCTGTTTTCCGCCTAAAACGAAACAGAGGCTGGATATCATTATGCTTATCAAGTATTTTTTAAAAAAAGTAATTGAGTCGCTTCTCCTGGCACAGGCCTTTAATACCAGCAACTGGGGAGCGGAGGCAGGCACATCGCTGAGTTCCAGGCCTGCTGGAACTAATTTTGGCCTACAAAATTACAGGCAGGACTATATTGAGGGACCATATCTCAAAAATTAATTAATAAGCCAGGCAGTAGCAGGGCATACCTTTAATCCCAGCACTCGGGAGGCAGAAGCCGGGTGATCTCTGTGCCTTCGAAGCCAGTCTGGCCTACAAGAGCTATCTCTAGGCCAAGCACCAAAGCAACAGAGAGAAAAGGTATTTCAAAAATAAATAAATAAATAAATAAATAAAAAATAAAACTAATAATTTTGTTTCCTCCATGTATGGTATATTACTGTAGTCTCACCCGATGCAGAATTTCTACCTGAACCACTGATCTCCTTGCCAGCCTATGGATGAAACAGTGAAACAACACAATAAAGCAACCATCTCAGAGCTAGCTTTCACAGCTCCGCTCTCACTCGCTGGGCATCACATCTCTAGTGTTTTCCCAACTTATCAAAAAGCAATCTAAATCTAAGAAAATTTGATATTAAATTTAAAAAAGGAAGAAAGAAAAATGTGGGAGCTCAAGAGCAGGAGTACCTCTCCAGGGAACAAACCATGTCCTTTTC